GCCAGCCACTGCCCTGCCAGCCCTGGTAGCAGTGGCAACGAAAATGGGTCCGTAGGAAGAGGGTGTCAGCAGAGGACAGCTGGCCCTCGGGCCAGAAGAGGGGGCGCTGGGGGTGGTCTCCATCCCGGCGCCGCAGCTGGAAGCTGGTGGAGTTGAGGTGGAGGAAGACATCAGCGGTGCTGTCCCGGCGCAGGCAGCGGCCCCGTCCCTGGCACAGTGCCGTGCTGCAAAGCTGCGCTGCCGTCGTGACGTTCACGATGTAGCGGCCTAGGTCCCCCTCCAGGTAGTTCTTTATGATCTGACAAGAGTCCTGGGGGAAGGAAGGGCATCAAGGGCATGTTGGGGTACGCCAGGGAGAAAAGCACCCCAGATGGAGAGGACAACCTAGCCTTGAGCCACTGGTCCCCCTCTGGGGAGGGGCGATCCCCCTACCCATCATCTACCTCCCCAGAAGTATGCTGACTCCAAACCTACCCGGTTTTTGGTGTAGTCCGCATCACCCCAGAAAATGGCCCCAGCTGCACCCAGCGCCGCGCTCTCTCCGATGGTGGAGATCAGGTCCGGCTGTGGGGACAGAGCCCGGTTAGTGCCTGCAGACCCCACACAGCGCCCACACCCCCAGCACAGTGCTCCCTAAAGAGCCCAGTGCAGGGTCAGGGAAGCAAGACCCATCCCTGCTCCAGGCCACAGAGAGAGGGGACTGTCCCAGCTCCATGAGGACAAGGCTCCCCACCACTGCCATCCTCCCCAGGGGCTAAGGCAGCACAGCGCCAGGGCTGTGGGCTCATGCACCCTGACGTCCCGGCTGCCAGGACCCAGGAGTCCTGTGGCACCTCCCAGGAACTCCCCTGGTGATGGTGACCATTGGTGCCAGTCCTGCTGCCGGACACCTTGCCCATAAGGGGGTCAGTTTGTGGCACCCCATCATTCCCACAGAGGAGCTGAGCTGGGGATCTCCACACGGTGACACCTCCTCCTCCTTGGTGTGAGGGAGGCAGGGTTGGGGACCCCTCCTGCTCCCCAGGGCCAGCCCCATGCCGGAGGGCTGCTCCCCATGCAGAGGCAGGCAAACCATGGGGTGCAGGTAGCACTGTGAGGGCCAACACTAGCCTCCAGAGCCACCATGCTCCAGGGGGGCAAGATGGGATGCAGGCAGAAGGACTACCTTGGCTGACCCCAGAGCCCAGGTGCCTGGGACTTGGGATGAGGACATCCCGGTGGCGCAGCCCTACCTGGCTGAGCACGTCCAGCTTGCGGATGTAGGTGGGCCGTGTATAGACGAAGACGGGCAAGGAGTAGCCATCGTGGTGCTGCTGCGAGATGCGCATAGCCTCCATCACCCGTGCCCGCACAAACTTGCGGCTGTTGGGGGTGGAGGCCAGGAGCAGGTCAAGGTAGATGGAGGGGTAGAGGGCCATGCTCTCCCTCCAGAGCCATGCCAGCTGGTCATTGCGCGTCTTCTCCACGTCCGGGCACTGCCCGGTGTAGCTCTCCTTGTTCTTGCTGTAGTCATGGTTGTAACAGTCGGGGAAGAGGTAGAACCCCCAGAGTTGTTTGGGTCGGAAGCTCTTGGCCATGCGCAGGGTGCTCACCATGAACTGCCGGGCGGCCGACTCAAACTCAAACACCGCCTGCTTGTTCACCTCCTCGCGGGACCAGGTGG